CGATATTAGAGCACGACAAGTAGTACTTGGTACTACGATCATTGGGGGAACAATACCGAAGTATGAGGATGCTTTAGAATCGTTTCGGTTGCTCGTTCGAGAACTACGATCTTTTCGCTCTGGAACTAAAGAAGGAGATGAGAGGGTTGGTCGGGAAAGAGTGGTGGGGGGGGGGGGGGTGGATTTCGCGGCCGAGGAAATGCTTGAATAATTGAATTTGTTAAATAGAGAGTGGTGGGGTGGCAATTGTGCAACAGAGAAAGAGAGGGAAGGGTAGAAGCGGCGCTTAATATTAGGATGGGTAGGGTTTTTTTTACCTGTAGGAGGTATGGTTTATTTAATTTTTATATAATTGTAATTTATAAAATTACTAAGTGGTACCTATAAATTAAATATCATTTTAGTCATAAAATTATTAAATTACTAACTTTTGAGTGTTTTACTTGTGATATTATTGTTTATAAGGTACTGGTTTTCTAACGGGGTTTTAACGGCACAATATCGGTTGGACCACTAAAATGCGAACCATTCGCGTTACCGACTCATGCTCCGGTTCGGTTCTGACAACATTGAGAATATCAATAGAGGAATTAAACGGTTTGGCTGACATGAAATCTAAAAACTGATATATTAGAATATAACATAATAGATGCATTAAAAAAATTTCAAATTAATATAAATTGTAAAATTCTAAGGAAGCATGGGTAATTGGTGAAAATCAAAATTATCCAAGGGACAATAAAGACCATAAAAAATTATGGATCCCATCAATTTGGCTGTGGCTCGGTTGAAACTTCTTTTTATTAATAGTTAGAACTAGCGTGCGTCCCGACCAGTTGGTCGGACGAAGATAGTCTATGAAATTTGATAATGTAACGGGGTGTATAGCTTATTGTTGTATAGTTTTTTTGGAAAACACGTGATAAAAATAGTGAATTTTAGTAGGAAAGAGACATGAATGATGCAACGAATCAAAAATCAGTCTTATGAACCAAAATCAAGTACATGTTACCTTGTGAAACAATATTGTTTCTGGTAATATGATGAGGTGGAGTAAGTTTTATAGAAATCGAATTCCAGAAAATCGAATAAAAAATCGCCCATCCTGCTGGTTTTCGGGAAATGAGCATCCCATAATCGTTGCTAGCTTTTACTCGGCCCGTTGGCCAATTAATTTGCTTTATAAAGATTTCATCTTGTCGACATTGTGCTTTTTGGTTTTTGCCAGACCATGATAAAATCTAAAGAAATCAAGAATGAACAACACGATTTGGGATAGGAACCGTCGTTCCTGTATCCCTAGAAAATAGTGGTAAACATAGACTCACCTGCCAAACTGGTTTGGATTGAGATTTTTATCGGGTATCAGGGAACCATGTGATTATAAATTAGACTTGATCAAAACGGGCCAAAACTTGAAATTCAGTCTGTTTGACCAACCCATGCCAAACTCTAATTCTTCTTTACTTTTAAACTTTATATTTGAAAGTAAAAAATAGTGAAAGAAAAGAGATGACTGCAATTCGCCATTTGCACATCACTGATTCGGGAATAAAACTATAGAAATTCGAAAGGAAACTAAAAATATTTAGGATCGTTTTATTGTTAAAAATAACCAAATAGATCTTTCTGTTTAGTTTTTTATTAACAAATACCAAACGATTCCCTATAAAATACACTGTAATTTAATCATTATGATATCAGATAATTACATAATATATATTTGAAATGATAAAAATTGGACTAATTAGGTTGGTCGAGGTTGAACCATCGAATAACTTTAAAATACATTATATTTTAGCCACTAAGATATAAAATAATAGCATAATATATATTATGCTAGAGAAAATAGCTTATTTTAGAAAGACAAACCCATGATGTTCACTTGTTTTAATTGATGGGCAAATCTCGTGTAGGTCAGGTCCATTGAACTCTTTTATTTTATGGCTAGCGGTTAGCCCATTAGAATCTATGCATTAGTTTATTGTTAATTTTTTTTCTTTTTAGCAATAAAAATGAGTATTGTTTTTGCCTTTTCATATATATTTTACCACCACGGAGAAATAAAAGGGCTTAAAGAAAAAAATTGACACTCCTGGACCTGTTTAAATCCGCATGTGTAGGGTAAGTTGGCTCATTCCACAGAGGAAAAAGAAAAAAAATAACACTCCCTATTCTACCCTTCCTACAAACGCTCATGGAGAAGAGAATTTGAAATGGGGGAAGAGTTTTTTCCTCTCTGCTATTATATGTTTTTAATTTAAAAAGATACAACAAATGTAGTTAGTGGTTATGATCTCCTTCCAAAAGGTTTAGATTGATACCGTTACAAAAAAAGGGGCCCCATGAGAGGAGCTCTCTCCTCTCTCTTATTCCTGTGCTCGCTGGTCGGGCATTGGATTTCTAGGGCCGCCGTCGAGGTATTCAAATCAAGTTGGCGCAACCAAATCAACGAGGATGGCTTCACTGAACCGATTCAGGAGACTACCCAGGTTAGGAGAGGGTCTGGTAGCTGTGTCGGCCTCCTTGCCGTTGGGGAACCAAGATCGAAAAGAGTGTCTCGGAGAAGGGTATGGCGCAGAGAACGGCGGAGATGCTTGACGAAACGGCCGCGGTGGTCAACCTTCGAGGAAACTGAGATTCTAGAGGAGCGCCCTCCGAAAAGACTACGGCAGAAACCAAAGGAGATATGGCGATTCTGGCTTCCGAGCTCGTCAGACTTGGATGGAAAATCCCCTGCTCTAGCCCTGTTCGCGGGGAAGAAGTTGCAGAAAACAGAGGCTTGGTGTGAACGCCGAGATCCGCTGGTGCAAGTGTTTGAATCTAATCCCATCGGGAAACTTCTATCCCTGTTCGCGGGGCGTAATTTGCAGGCAACAGAGGTCGGGTTTGAGCGCCCTGTTCCTCTGAATCAACCTGCTCAATCAGCTCCATTCGGGGAGGAAATTTCCCTTGTGAAATCAAAAGGGGGAAATCCGGCATTTTGTTGCAACCCTTCGGGGGAAGTGATTCCCGACGTTTCGCCGGGGACGATGATGACGGTGAGTGAAGAGAGCCCACCCATACCCAATGGCGCCGGGATAATGAGAGACGGCGGAGTGGGAATCGCCGACCTCCAGTGCCGACTGATTTGGCCGCAGAAAATCAGGGATTTTCCAAGTAAGTTTGCTCCAGAAATCCCTGTGTTTTTGAGCGAGATTCTAGGGAAACAGAGCCGTGTAAACTTTCGAAATTGTGCCCCGCGTCGGAAGTTTCCGATTCCAATTCCAACTCTAATTGAGAAAAGCCGTTTCATTCTTGGAAATGCTAGGGCTCGGCCCTATAAATCTTCTCCACTGCTCTCGAATAAGTCAGTGTGCAGTGAGCGAAGTTAGAGCTTTCAGCAGAGAAGAATCCGATTCATCCTCCCGGTAAACAAACTTCGGCCTCTGATCTCGGACTAGGTAAAGGGCCTCTAATCTCTCTTTCTTCTGCTGGGTTGCTGGGGAGAGGCTGCCCGGTTCCTAGGGTTCGCCCTTCTAGACAGACGGTGGGTGGACTGTCGCCGGAACTTCCTGCTCTTGAGAGCCTTCCCTCCTGGCCGGTCGGCAGTAGGCTGCCTCCGAAGATGTCCGGCATTGGGGCGGTGGTCAAGGGGAGTTCCCAAGTTCCCCTCGTTTCTGCCTTGGGAGAGAAGGGCACGCGTGCCTTCGGGCTAGTTGTGGATTGCTTTTTTAATTCCCTTGGGAATCATTTTTCCCCCTCTTTTATGATTATAAGACTCTTATTAACAACATTTGTTGTCCGTCATTTGGCTCGTTCCCATCAATCCCTATGAGTGCACCAATTTTACCTATTAAAGCTAACGATTTAGCTATTGCTTGTCAGGTAAGTATGATGTCGCGAATTACGGAGGATCAAGTGGTCGAGTTCTCACTTGAGGAGGTCCAATCTGTGAGGTTTCGTACTTCTAGGACCCTCCTGGGAAGGCTCTTTTCGGAGGCCAAGTTCACTACTGCCGAGCTGAAAGTGGGATTAGTTGAAGCATGGCGGGTGAAAGGCAACCTTAGGGTTTCACTTACTAAATTCGGCTTATTTGAGGTGGTGCTACCAAGTGATGAAACAAGGGTGTGGATTCTCAAACGTACGCCCTGGATAGTCAAAGACAGGATTTTCCACCTCCGGTCCTGGACACCAACCATTTCGAGGCTCACCTTTGATGAATTAGCCACTGCCCCCTTTCGAGTGCAGCTCTGGAATGTGAAAGATGATTGCTGCATGACTCGACTCTACTGTCACTCCAGGAATTGGCCAAGTGAAACCACTTCCTAAAGCGTAGTATAGCGGGTTTGGGTTTAATTATCAACCTGGGTCCTAGATTTGATGACTACTTAGTGAATTCTTGTTATCTAGCAATGAAACTGGAATGCAAGTCTAACTAACAAACTAACAAAGCAGGTAAACGGTTGTATTCAAGTTAAGAGAGGTCACCCGGATATGGTTCCCCCTAGACTGCAGTTAAGCCGGATTGTAATTACCAAGTTCAGTTTCTATGATGGTTATACTGCGGAAGGTTCTCAAACAGCCTGAAGTCTCGACTAAAGGTCTTCAGACCCTCTCAATCTGAGTCTCTAGCGGGCGACTAACCTCCACCGGAGTAAACAGATTGAGGCCCTAAGAACAAAACCTCCACTACCGAAGTAAATCCGGTACAGGATAGTGAGTTGGCTCCTCGACTAAAGTCACCAACTCCCTACCTTCAATCAAGGATACTCTATTAACGTAGGCAGATATTCTCATTCTAGGTTAAAGCAGAAACAACAGGAATTTGATCAGGATTCAAGTCATTCAATCATTAAAACCTCAATCGAATATAATCAATCATAGAATCAGTACTTGGGTTCATACAATCAAAGCCTAACATACCAATCTAGGGTTCTCCATACCCAGATCAATGGGAGAACTACTCCATGGAGAAGAAAGCAAAAGCAGAATCAGACGCGGAATTCATACTGTGAAGGATGGATTCCTGCTCCTGGACGTTGATCGGCACTTCTCCAAGCTCAAACAAGCCTCCAATGGTGTTGAAGATCAAGCTAGGGCGCTTGGAGACTCTTGTTCGTCACTTTCTCTCTCTAGGAATCGTTCTATCTCTCAAAAACTCGAATTCCTTGATTTTCAGCCCTCTTTTCCCTTAAAACAGCTGCCTGTCGCGATACCCGGTCGGGTATTTTGGGTCTCGACCGGGTATTAACAAAACGCACGTTTCAAGCAGGGAAAAATCCCCGGTCTGCTCCAATAATCCCCGACCGGGGATTTAAGCCTCACGACCGGGCCCCCCTCTGTTTCTCAGACGCCAAAGAGGGAATTCCCCGGTCTCCTCAGAATAATACCCGGCCGGGTATTTTGGCCCATGGCCGGGTATTTTCCTCCTTCAGCCCGCTTCAAGCCTCACTTGCTCCTTTCGACCCGAATCTCGTTCCTTCGCCTCGATTCCAACGCCGGGTCCTGAAATATGACATAAATACACAACCTCGCGTGAAATCGGCTTAAAACCCGAGAATCAACCTCTCAAACGGCTCAAGAATAGGGGTGAAAACACGTGTAATTATCGGTCTATCAAACTCCCCCACACTTAACCGTTTGCTTGTCCCTAAGAAAACCTAACTCAAACCAATGCAACTCTCCAGACGTCTATAGCAATAAACAACCCAGATCGTAGGTAGAGGACTTCCTAGATCATTTAGCAGCTTACGAGGTCAACCGACGCACAAGTCATCTCATAGCTTCTTCGGCGAGCGCACTAGTCTCGAGTCGGCATCATGGCAAATAGTGAACAGAGGACAAATGAATCGTGGATGAAGAGATTCTCAAAAACAAAGGAGATGGACTCACATTTTTTCAAGGTGCTCTATTTTCTTCTTGAAGATGGTTGGAACCCCTTGTCTTTCTGGTTTGCTTGTTTTCTGTTATTATTTTTCTTCTCTTTTTTTTTTCAAGGGTCCCAACCTGCTCTTACCGGCCATGCCAGGAGCGGATGTCTCGAGCCTCGTGCGGGGGAAAGACATGTAAGGGGGCTGGAGGTAGTAGGTGGAAATTGGGAACGAATTCCCGTCTCCCCTTACACACTTTCACCCTATTCGCACGGGAGACGTTATTTCAAAGCACATTTTTTTGAGCACCTATTATTTTCAAAACATGATACAAGAGTCCACGACCGGTAGAGAATCCACAACACCACACAATTCAAGGGTCCTAAGATCACTAATTCACTCAATCAACCAACACAATATGAAGAAGCAATGAGACTTCTTAAATGCATCAACATCCTCCATAGTGCTACACTACCTCCCTAGGTTGCATATTACTATAAAGACTGTCAATTCAAAGCATACTGAGCAGGCAATTGCAAGGAAACACGTACTTGGAGCCCTTAAATTTAAAAATTTGGACAGTGGACTAGGCTCCAAGCACACAAACAGATCTAATGCAGTCAAAAGCTAAACACCCCCCCACACTTAAGATCGACATTGCCCTCAATGGAGAAGAGGGAAGGAAAAAGGGAACGATGTTACCGGTATGCACGGACTGCAGGGGACTGGAAACGGACCAGTCGGAGCGAAGCGGACTGGATAGAGGACCAGTCAAGACAAGCACAGCTAAAAGGAAACCAAAGAGCTAAACACAATACGTCAGGTCTAATGGTCAGCCCAATAGTACAGAATCCAACATAAAAAGAAAGAAACCAAACCAACACAAGACAGTTTGCACACTGATAAAAACAAACACACTCAAAACATGGCACTAGGAACCGCCTCCTAGACCGGTGAAGTCGATCTGGTTCACGAGGTCGTCGTCTCCATCATCCGGCGGTGGTGGTGGTGAATGATCCCACCGGGTGGTCCAGTGGTGCTCCTCAGGGGGGGTGGCAGGCCTGGAGCAGGTGCTCAGAGTACTCCATCAGTCGGCGGCCTCGATCTCTCTCCCGCTCGATGAGAGTACCCGTGACTCCCATATGGGTCTCTAAGCGGCCGAGGCGATCGTCAACAACCTGCAGCCTGGACTGGTACTCGGCATGGTGGGCCGAATACTGCTGGTAGAACTAGACCTGATGGTCCATGAGCTGCTGGTTCTGGAGACCGAGCTGCTGGAACTGGAGCCCCATCTGCTGGAACTGCTCCGTGAAGAAGCCCATGGCCGGGTATTTTCCTCCTTCAGCCCGCTTCAAGCCTCACTTGCTCCTTTCGACCCGAATCTCGTTCCTTCGCCTCGATTCCAACGCCGGGTCCTGAAATATGACATAAACACACAACCTCGCGTGAAATCGGCTTAAAACCCGAGAATCAACCTCTCAAACGGCTCAAGAATAGGGGTGAAAACACGTGTAATTATCGGTCTATCACTGCACGAAGCAGTTTGGCCAGAAAATGGTGGCTGGGACTATTGGCCAGGTCTTGGAAGCAGATGTATTTGCATCCAAGGAAACGGGGGAGAGCTTTGTGAAATTTCATACCCTCATCGATTTTTCTAAGCCTCTGCGGTCACAAATCATGGAGGTAAGCGAGGAGCTTGGCGAGTTCTGGGTTAACCTCAAATATGAGTTCTTACCGACCGTCTGCTTTCACTATGGGCGCGTGGGGCACTCCAAGCGCGATTGTGTTTTTGATCCCCCTCCGAGTAAAGAACGCTTTGGCCCGCATATGTATACAAGGAAGCTCGGACGGAAGATATACATGGAGGAGGACAACTATCCTAAGACTCGAGATGTAAGCAAGTCTGTGTGGGTTAACAGGAATGTGCAAATGCAAAAGGGTGGTTCTGCAATGACTGCTTGGGGCGCGTGGAGGAGAGGCCGCGGGGATCTTCAGTGAATACTCAAGCTCTAGCGATATACCATGCTCGGCCTACTGAATCAGAAGGACAGGCCAGCCAGAAGTCACAGCCTAGGCTGTCAGAATCACCCTTACAACTGGGTGGTGACCATCAAAGCCCGAAATAGTTTAAGCTCACAAAATCCCCTCGGATTAAGCTTGGAGGAGGGGTTAGACAACCTCAACGGAAACTGTCTCCTAGGAAGAGTTCTACTCTTCCTCGCCAAGATCCTAAGAGCCGCTAGCAACCTAGTAGACATAGGAAGCAGGCTCACCCTCAGCAACTGGTGGCTGATCCTTTAGAGGTAGTTCTTGAGCAATCCCGCCGGCGTGGACTGATCTTGCAGGAGGAATCTGAGGAGGAGGAGAATGTGGTCCTTGCACCTAAATCGAAGAAGGGTGCTCGTCTGCCAGCCAAACCTGGGACCCAATCAGGGGGCTCAGCTCCCCGGGTTCGCCCACACTTGAGAAAAGGAGATGCTAGTGGTTCCCTGCCTATGTATAATCAGGATGAGGCTGTTGCTTCACCTGGTGTTATGCAGGAGCTGGAAGATAAGGTGATTGGCCTTAATGTTGATGCGACCATTCCTGTGGGACCCCAGCAGGATTCGGATTCTGAAGAAGATCCATCGCCAGGAGATCCTCTTTCTTTTGAGATCAAGCGTCGTTCGCCTGCTGGTGCTTCCAGGGTGTCCTCCAAAATCATGAAAGGGCGTGTGCACAAAGTGGTGGAGGCTTTTGAAGCAGGACTTAGCATTGGGCAGGTTGAGGAGATTCCCGATAGGGGCATGAACTTGAGTGTGAATGAATATGGGACTAATTTAATGGACCCAATCATGGAAAAATGCAAGCGGGTGCTGGAGGAGGTGGAGGGAGAAATGGATGATTCTCCTACCCCGAAGAAGCTATTTGTGGAGGCAGTGGAGGTTCTAGATAAGGTGAAGGAAGCCAGCCTCGAGTGGCCCCCAGCCGATAAATGAGGATTCTGGCATGGAATGTGAGGGGACTTGGGCCATCCCTCACCTTCCAAACTGCTTTAGGGCTTGTGCATTCGAATAAACCGGATATCGTGTTTTTTTCAGAAAAACGTTCGGGCCGAAGTGTAGTGTCCCGCCGTATGCGGGGTTTATGTTTTGATCTTTCTCGTTGTTTCTTTGCAGATGCAGTCGATGCATAAGGAGGTCTAGTGTTTGCTTGGCCCCCCGAGGTTGACGCTTCGGTGTTCTTCCATTCTGATTTTTGTATTTGTTCGCAAATTAATAAAGATGATCTTTCTTATGTGGTGATTTTTGTCTATCTTAGCTGTAATGTTGCTTTAAGGGCTGCTCAGTTGACCCAGTTGCAGGATGTTTGTGCGAATATTAGTCATCCTTACGTCATCATCGATGATTTCAACACTATACTCCACATGGGTGAAAAGGATGGGGGCCGGACTTGGACTGGGGCCCAAGCCGTTAGCCTTTGGGAGTTTGTCCATGTTTTGGGCCTCCATGACCCGGGTTTTCAAGGGGATGTATTCGGGAGCGTCTGGATAGGGCTCTTTGTTCCCAATCCTGGATTGATGAGTATCCAGAGACTCTGGTCAAACACTTTACGGACCAGGGGTCGGATCATCAGGCGCTGTTGCTCGCCGACAAGCCGTATGCCCGGAATAGTCGTCCCTTATTCCGTTTTGATGCCCGATGGACGGATAATCCTGAAGTGAGGGCTATGGTCCAGTATGTCTGGCAGGAAGAGATCCAAGGTACCCCTATGTTTCGACTTTGGGAGCGATTAAAGAAACTCCGCCATCTTCTTTATGATTGGAGCAGGGCGGGTACAACGAATTCTCTGCGGAATATTAAGACTCTCCAGGCGGAGGTGGAGAGGATAAAATCAGTTCATCCGGTGGATTGGGATGAGGTCAGGACCCTGGAAACAGAGCTATCCTGGCAGTGGGAAGCGGAAGAGATTTTCTGGCAACAGAAATCAAGGGTAAAATGGTTAAAGAAAGGAGATCAAAATTCTGCCTACTTCCATACAGTCACAAGGGCGCGGCGGAAGAGGAACTTTGTTTCCAGGATTTGTAATGAGGAGGGTGAATGGATTACTGAAGAGGCTGGGAAGGCTGCTATTGCCACAAATTTTTAACAGACCCTGTTTACTTCAGGATCCCAGGTCCCTGATATGGCTGAGAGGGTGGCGAGCCTGCCGATTGCCCATAGTGTTACTCCGCAAATGAATGTGCAGTTGACGGCGGATGTTTTGCCGAGTGAGGTTCGGCGAATGGTCTTTGCCATGGGGTTGAAGCAGGCTCCGGGGTCGGATGGTTTCAATGGGAAGTTCTTTAAAGCTTTCTGCGATATTGTTGGCACTTCGGTGGTTGACGCAGTAATCTCTTTCTTTGCATTGAGTCGAATGTTGCGGAGTTTTAACCATACCTGGCTCACTTTGATCCCTAAAGTGGATTCGGTTGAAACAATAAGGCAATTGCGACCGATTAGTCTCTGCCAGTTTGTTTACAAGGTGATTACCAAAATTATGGCTGAACGACTGGCGAGCTTGCTCCTTCAGATCGTTTTGGAGGGGCATAATGGTTTTATCAGAGACCGACAGATTATTGATAACATCCTTATAGGACATGAATTAATGCACTATCTGAAGATAAAAAAGCAAGGGAGGAAGGGGTACATGGCTCTGAAGGTTGACATGGAAAAGGCATATGATAGAGTAGAATGGCCCTTCCTTCTTGCAGTTTTGGATAAGATGGGTTTTAATTCGGTCTGGCAGGGATGGATTCATGAATGTCTTCGATCCTCCTCTTTTTCGGTTCTGATGAACGGCACGCCCTTGGGTTATTTTACTGCCTCTAGGGGCCTTCGCCAGGGGGATCCGCTCTCGCCTCTCTTGTTTGTGCTCTGCACGGAGGGTTTTGCAGCCCTTCTCCGGAAGGCGATCACGGAGAATAAATTAGAGGGAGTGAAAGTGGTGCCCCGGGCACCTCGAGTCTCGCACTTGTTCTTTGCAGATGATTCTTACCTTTTCTTGCAAGGGTCTCTTCAGGAGTGCGAGAATTTAATTGAGGTGCTTAATGAATATGAGGAGTTGAGTGGCCAACGCGTTAACTTAGCGAAATCAGCGGTGTGTTTTAGTAAGAATATCTCCACGCCCGATCAGGAATTTTTGGCAACGATCCTTGGGGTTGGTGCTGTGGGGGTTCATGACAAGTACCTGGGATTTCCCACGCTGGTCGCACGATCCAAAATGGCTACCTTCCGATATTTGGAGGATAAACTCTTAGAGAGACTTCAGGGGTGGAAGCAAAGAACGTTATCGTGGGCTGCGAAGGAAACTTTGATTAAATCCATCGCATTGGCCCTGTCCCTGCATGTTATGTCCTGTTTTCGGCTTCCCCTAGCTCTTTGTCGGCTCCTTGATAAACATGTGGACCGCTTTTGGTGGGGGTGTTGAAGAGGGAAGTCCCAAGATTAGATGGGTTTCCTGGCGTAACATGTGCAGAAGTAAACATGAGGGGGGATGGGGTTTCGCCAGTATGAACATTTCAATCAAGCTCTTCTGGCTAAGATAGGTTGGCGTATCCTTAGTGAACCTCAGTCGCTAATTGCCCAGATTTATAAAGGCAAGTACTTCCCTCAAGGATCCTTTCTGACCGCGGCTGCTAGGTCTCGTCCCTCTTGGGGGTGGCAGAGTATCCTTCATGGACGTCAGTTATTGGAGATGGGATTAAGATGGCAGGTTGGCAATGGCAAGTCGATATCCCTTCTTCATTCGAACTGGATCCCTCAGTTCCAACTAGATTCTCCTTGTTATAATCCGTGCGTTTTACCTGAAGGGGGTGATCTTTTGGTGGCCGAGGTTATTTGTCAGGGGGAAGGAAGGTGGTCTGATGAGAAGCTCTGTCAGTGGTTTGACCCGCACACCTGTAAGTCTATCAAAGCTATTCCGCTTCCGAGGTGGGAGGTGCCTGATAAAATTATTTGGCATTTTACGACTGACGGGGTTTTCTCGGTAAAGTCGGCCTATCATTTGGCTGTAGATTTGGATAGGAGGAGGGGTGGGTGGCGATCCTCGGTTAGCTGGATGGATAAATCAAGTTGGATAAGAGTGTGGGAGGCGAAGATACCTCCGAAGTTGAAGGTTTTTGTATGGCAAATCCTTAATCGGGCTCTGCCAACTATGGAGGCGCTTATTGAGAAGAAGGTTCAGGTACTTCCCCGGTGTCCAGTTTGTTGGGATAGCCCGGAAACTATGGAACATCTGTTTCTGTACACTGTACTGTCCAGTTGCGCGGGCTCTCTGGGACTACTCAGGGCTGGAATACCTAGGGGAGGGTTTGCCTCTGCACACTTTTCCTTTGTTTTTCAAGCATTTGTTGGGTCTGATTTCTCAACCGTCCGTGGTTATGGCTGTTGTTGCCATCCTTTGAAGGATCTGGCGTTCTCGGAATTGGGTTGTTTTTTAGGGCAAACAATTCGGGATTCCCGCACTCATGCGGCAGTTTCACCAACAGTATGAGTGGGTGTCTCTCCCAGTGGATCAGGTTCCGCGGATGACTGTCCCAAGGATGCAACCAGCAGCGCAACCGGGTGATTCCCAGGTGGTTTGCATGTGGGACGCGGCTACGAAGGGTGGGTCCCATTCGGCTGGTGAGATGGTTCTCCTTGGCCCAGAGCGGACAATCCTTCTGGCTAGAGGGGTTCAGTTTCCTCAAGTGGATGACCCGATGATGGTAGAATTGCTTGTGCTTAGAGAAGCTATTGTTTGGTGTATGGAGCAAGGATTGGCGGAGGTCCGGTTTGAGGGCGATGCAAAGGTCATTATTGACAAAATTAATCAAGCCATCATGAGAGATAGCCGGTTGGGTGCTGTTCTAGAAGAGATTGGGCATTACTTTCGTACCCAGTCTGGTTTTAGTGTGCGGTTTGTAGGTCGAGAGAACAATAGGGTAGCTCACTTGGTAGCTAGGAAAGCCCTTTCTTTGTATCCGACTATGAGTTGCTTCTTTGATTTCCAATCTTGGCTGGTTTCCAGGGTGTAACTGTCTTTGATTGATCAATACAAGATATCTTTTGGCAAAAAAAAAAAATGGTTATGATCTTTGCTTTTTTTTAAAGTGGTCATGGTTCGAATCTTAGTACTTTCACTCTGAATGTAGGAAATTTGAAATAGGATTTCAAGTTTTTTCATTTCGCTTTTATTTATTGTGTAGATTTAATGTGACCAAAACCTATCTAAAACTACAAAAGCAAACTTCTTACGATCACAAGAAACACAAACAATAAAAACAACTTTATTGCAAATCAGCCTCATGGTGATCGGCTAATCATTCTTTTCAATTCCTCAACAAGACAAAAGAAAACAGTGTTTGCTTAATCATTCTTTGCTATTTATATATGAACTAAACACAAAGCAAGCACTGTGGACGGATATTTTTTTGACGGCCATTTTGTTTGCTCTGCTCTGCCTACATAAACAGAAGTTGTTCGTTCATCCATCCACCCATCCATCCTCTAGTACCCACTAAGCAATCAAACAAGAATCAACCAACAATGGCGGTGAAGGTATACGGTCCGGCCTACGCTTCCCCGAAGCGCGTAATCGCGTGCCTAATTGAGAAGGGTATCGACTTTGAAACCATCCCCATTGATCTCCTCAAGGGAGAGCACAAGGCTCCTGATTTCCTTCAATTGCAGGTTCGAATTTTGATCTCTTTGTCTCTCCTCTGTTTTCAATTAACCTTCTTAATCTACCATCCATTACGAAATTTCCCTGTTGCAGCCTTTTGGATCTCTCCCGGTGATTCAAGATGGGGACTACACTCTGTTCGGTAACCATTTTTCTTACTGCACAAAACCATGTTAACATTGAACCGTTTTTTTTACTGTGAGATTGATCAAAGTCAGATGAAAATCGACAGAATCGAGGGCGATCATGAGGTACTATGCAGCTAAGTACAAGCTTCAGGGGACCGATCTGCTCGGCGGGTCGATGGAAGAAACAGGGCTCGTAGATCAGTGGCTGGAAGTGGAGGCTCACAACTTCAACCCGCACATCTACAGCTTGACGATTCAGATCATGTTCTACCCTGCCGTCGGAACCCCGACCGACGAGAAGGCGGTGGCCGAGAGCGAGGAGAAGCTTGGGAAGGTGCTGGACGTTTATGAACAGAGGCTGTCGGAGAGCAAGTATCTGGCCGGAGATTTCTTCAGCCTGGCCGACCTCAGCCACCTGCCGTTCACGCAGTACTTGGTGGGTCCGATTGGGAAAGAGTACATGATCAGGAGCAGGAAGCATGTGAGTGCGTGGTGGGATGACATTAGTGGCAGGGATTCTTGGAAGAGGGTTCTCGAGCTTGAATCCAAGGGCTGGGCGGGGAACTGATGATCTCTGGGTGGCGGAATCAATATGGTTGTGTCATGTGTGTTTGATGGATTGTGTTGTTGTTGTTTGTGATGCTTTGTAAGTTTTTTCTGTTTTCCTTGTTTGTTTCGGATTTCTCTTTTATTAGGATCGTGTGTATCGTTCTGGTTGGAAAGAAATAATGAAAACTTTGTTGTCTACGTATATACAGATTTCGAGAGAGAGAAACTTTTCGTTTCTCCATCCGATATGTTACGATGCAATCCGCCAATGCCATAAAGAAATTCCACTGTTGCATATCTCTAACAATTATAAATCGTCTATGTGCGATCCAATAAGGAAAGAACGTTGTGAGTGTTGGAATAAAGTATTCTTTGACAGAGAAAATTGATAGCAATCAAAGGTGATTTGCATTATGATTCTTCTGTTCTCTTTATACACGTTTACAGGAGAAGTAGGGAAGTGGTTCGGAGTTTCAAGGAGAGGTTACAGGGAGTGGGAAAGTGGTTATACAATAGTGGTGAATAAAAAATAGAATAAAGAATTTTATTCTTTTTCTCTAATACGCCCCGCAAGATGGAGGTCGTGTCCACGATTCCAATTTTGGACCGAAGTAGAAGAAAGCGAGACGCAGCCAGCGGTTTGGTGAGCACATCAGCGAGTTGCTGAGCAGTGGGGATGTAGCGAATGATGAGGCGACCATCCTGGACCAGTTGGCGAACGAAGTGATAATCGAGAGCTAAATGCTTCATCCTGGAATGAAACACCGGGTTGGAACTAAAACTTGTTGCCCCAAGATTATCGGAGAACAGCGTAGGTGATGCAGATAATGGTTGACGGAGCTCGGTCAAGAGATTTTGTACCCACTCTAACTCAGCAGCAGCATGGGCGATAGCCCGATATTCAGCTTCAGTACTAGAGCGAGCAACAGTGCGTTGTTTTTGAGACCGCCAAGAGATGAGGGTGGAGCCCAAATAGAGAAGATATGCAGAGGTGGAGGTGCGATCATCCAAATTACCCGCCCAGTCAGAGTCAGCAAAGGAGGTGAGACGTAATGGAGTGGGTGTGCGGCGGATAGCAAGACCATAGGAGATAGTACCACAGACATAGCGTAGAAGACGCTTGAGACACTGCCAGTGATAGGTGCTGGGAGAGTGCATATACTGAGAGAGCTTATTCACCGAGAAGGCAATGTCGGGACGGGTGTACACAAGATACTGCAGTGCCCCTAACACTTGACGATAGCGAGTGGCATCAGTGGGAGACGTGCCATCACGAAGAGACAAAGTGGCAGAAGAAGCCAGAGGAGTAGAGGCTGGAGCAGCATCGAGCATATGAAACCTGTTCAGGATATCAACCATATACTTGTGCTGGGACAAAACATAGCCGGAGGTCGTGGGAATAACCTCGATTCCTAAGAAGTAATCAACATCGCCCAGTTCTTTTAATGAAAACCTGCGTGCAAGGGCATGCTGAAACGTGGAAAGCGTCGCAGGATCATTACCAGTGAGCAGAAGATCATCCACATACACAAGGAAATAGAGAAGAATGCCAGAGTGGTGATAGACAAATAATGAAGCATCGGACTGGGTCTTCTGAAAACCAAACTCAAGCAGAAATGAGCTGAGAGTAGTGTACCAGGCACGAGGAGCTCGACGAAGACCGTAGATAGCTTTGCGGAGTCGACAAACATGGGTAGGATGCTGAGGGTCCACAAACCCGGGGGGTTGAGCCATATATACCTCTTCAGTAAGAGGACATTGAAGAAAGGCATAGGCATTGTTAACATCAAATTGCTTGATCGGCCAACCCTGAGAGAGAGCAATGGTGAACACAGTACGTACGGTGACCGGTTTGATGACGGGACTGAACGTATCCTGAAAATCAACACCGGGACGCTGGTGAAAGCATTTGGCCACAAGACGAGTCTTATAGAGACGAATGGAACCATCGGTGTGATGCTTGATGCGATAGACCCAGCGGTTGCCAAGGACATTATAATGTGGCTGACGGGGGACGAGATCCAACGTATGATTTTGAATCAAGGCAGCATGTTCTTTGTGAAGGGCAGCATCCCATTCTGGAAAACGCATAACCTCGGCAACAGAACGAGGCTGAAGAGGAACAGTGGGGGGCAAAGTGGCGTGGAGAGCTGGAAACAGCCGCTTGGGCCGATAAATTCCCGCCTGGGCCCGTGTGTGCATCCTGTGCGGGCGTTGAATGGGGGGTGGCACAATGGGCTAGGTAGTTGTGGGCCGGGGCGAGGAGAGCTCAAGCCCTGAGGAGGAGGGCCCATCAGGCCCATGCACGGAAGATATGCGAGGCAGCGGGGCAGTGGAGGGAACTAGCCCAGTCGGCCCAGTCGCTGAAGTGGAAGACTGCGGCGGCCCAGCAGGCCCAGAGGAGACGCCCAGTCCATTGGTAGGATGTGATGTTGTGGAAGGAGTAGTGCAGCGGGGACCACGGGCCGAGGAAGGAGCAGCGACAGATGCAGGAGCAGGCCCAGCGATGGGGATGTGGACAATGTTCGGGCCCATGTCATACAACCATGAGTCCACGGTCGGAGTATCTGCATTTTGGTTAGCCAAAAAACCGGGGAAGGAATGCTCAACAAAGTGGACATGTCGGGAGAGAAAAATACGATGAGTGGTAGGATCAAAGCACCTATAGGCACTACGTTGAGGACAATAACCAATAAAAATGCAAGGACGAGATCGAGGTTCCAATTTGTGAGCAGAGTAGGGACGCAACCAAGGGTAACAGAGACACCCAAACACACGTAATTTATGATAATTAGGAGCAAGGTTGAACAGGATAGTGTAAGGAATATGACCACGTAATGCAGAGGACGGGAGACGATTAATCAAATAGGTAGCAGTGGAAAAGGCAAAGGACCAAAACAGGGTAGGAAGGTTAGCATGATGCAGGAGAGTGATACCCGTTTCAACAAGATGACGATGCTTCCGCTCGGCCAGACCATTATGCTCAGGGGTATGAGGTGGTGTGAGAAGATGGGTGATGCCATGATGTAAAAGAGTAGAACATAATTTCTGAAACTCACCACCACCATCGGAATATAAACGACGAATGGTGGTGGAAAAATAATTCTCGACCATCTTGCGAAAATCAAGAAACACAGAGAGCACATCATATTTATTTTTCAAGGGATAATACCACGTATAACGGGAGAAATGATCAACGATTATTAAGTAATAACGAAAACCATCAATAGAGGTAACCGGAGCCGGTCCCCAAACATCAGTATACAATAAATCAAATGGCCTAGAGCTTTGCAAAGAAGACATGGCAAAGGGAAGTTTGTGACTTTTATTCGAAAGACAGGAATTGCAATGACTACTGACGATGGAGGATGATAATGGCAAGGACTGGGAGCGAAGAAGACTGTTGAGAGAATGACTAGACGGATGGCCAAGACGAGCATGCCATGAGGCGGAGGTTGTGCGAGTGGTGACAAGTGCAAGACGAACATTATCCACATCACCAGGCAACTCATAAACATCCCCATTATTTGCCCCTTTCAGCAGCGACGCCCCCGTGCGAAGATCCTTCACAACAAAACAATCAGCAAAGAATTCCACCGAAATGGGATTAGTGCGACAAAGTTTAGCAACAGAAATAAGTCTACGCTTGATGGCAGGCGCACATAAAACATCTTGCAAATGTAAGGAAGACGTCGAAGAACACAATTTAGTAGACCCAATATGTGTGATTTGCAAACATGCGCCATCGCCAACAAGAATCTCATCCGGGCCATTGTAATCAGAATAGAGTGATAAATTGCCTAAATCAGATGTGACATGATGAGAAGCCGCAAAATCAAGTAACCATGGGCCAGTAGAGGGAGCATGACCAGCAACAGTGTGATGGGCTTGGGACTGACGGTCCTGGTAAGCCTGCCGAGCCTGTGGAAAGAGTTTGAAGCACTGGTGGACTGTATGGCCCGGCCTGTCACAGTATAGGCAGATAATGGCCTGCCGGCGTTGTGGAGCAGAGTCAGCGGAGGATTAGCCATTAAAACCAGGGGGCCGAAATGGGCTTTGGGCCCTGTGATGATCAGCCCTCAAGGAGCCAGCTGCACACGGGGAAGCAGGCCTGGATTGTGGGCTTGGGGGACGGGGAGAAGCCCCAAACCCTCGCTGCTGCTGGGAACGAGACGCGCCGCCGCCCTGTCTCTGCTGCGGGTGAGTGCAAAACGCAGTGGGAACAGAGTGGCGCGCCTGCGCCTTCAGATCGGACTCATATTCGACAAGGGAGTCCACGAGATCCTCCAAGGTGAGACCCGGACCTCGAGCACGAACAGCAGCAGAGAAGGCAGCATATTCGTCGCCCAAGCCGCGAAGACAAAGAACCACCAAATCCATTTCAGCAACCGGCGCAATCACAAGGGCGAGCTCTGCGGCAATACTCTTCAGGTCATTCACAAACGTCAAAACATCATTATTCCCCTTGACCGTCTTGGCCAATTTGGTTTTCAAGTGAATTACACGAGATTGAGCACTACTCGCGTAGAGTTTTTCAAGAATGAGCCACGCCTCGCGTGACGTCGACGCCGCAGAGACAAATGAATAAATAGATTCTGAGATCGAACATCTGAGGGCATGTAGAATTAGCTTATCTTGGCGAAACCAATACTGGTAGGCAGGATTTGCTTGAGTAGCAGCCTCCACGGTGATTGTACGAGAAGGAGCAATGGTGGAGCCGTCAATGAATCCAAACAGATCAAGCCCCATAAGCAGAGTTTCAAGCTGAGATCGCCAGGAAGCAAAATTAGTGGGAGTGAGCTTCAGAGGAAGCTGAGCCGCAGGATTGAACGTGACAATGACTGGAATTGCAGCAGAGGTGGCTGAGTCGTGAACGGTGGAATCGCCAGACATGATGACAAAGAACAGAGGGGCGGACGAAAAAACAGAGGGCTGATGAAAAACAGAGGGTTATGTTGGATCGAAGAGAACAGGGGAGAAGAAAAAAAAAATCAAGGAGACGAAATTGGATCGATACTAGCTGATCGTTGCTAGCTCTGATACCATGTTGGAATAAAGTATTCTTGACAGAGAAAATTGATAGCAATCAAAGGTGATTTGCATTATGATTCTTCTGTTCTCTTTATACACGTTTACAGGAGAAGTAGGGAAGTGGTTCAGAGTTTCAAGGAGAGGTTACAGGGAGTGGGAAAGTGGTTATACAATAGTGGAGAATAAAAAATAGAATAAAGAATTTTATTCTTTTTCTCTAATAGTGAGCACGTTCACACAGACACCATCGAGCATTTTAGCAAAATTGGCTCTCGCGTAAATTTGGGGAAAACATGCTCTTTCAATGTGCTTTAGTATTTTTAAAGAAACCATGATATTTACTCAACAAACCCCCTCTCCACCACCCAAGAAACAAAATAAATAAAAGCATCTCTAAACTAGACAAAGAAGAGGCTTTTTTTTCCGCCACACCTGCATTATGAGAAGCCCAATTTTGCAGTCTTGTAAACCACACAAAACTCTAAACTTTAATTATTATTATTAATTTTAATATATAAAAGCCTAGGTTTGAGTTACTATTCATTAGTGGCTCTCACACTCCTCCAAGTGCAAGCGAGGAAGTTCCTAATCCTTATTTTATCCCACTCTTCATTCTACAACCATTGTGTTTAGTTAATAGTTATTGTTCGCTAGGTTTTCGTCTATGGTTTTTTTTGCACAAATCATCGCATTTGTGTTTTGTTATTGTTCGCTAGGTTTTCGTCTATGGCTTTTTGCACAAATCATTAATTAATATATAAAAGTCTAGGTTTGAGTTACTATTTATTAGAGCTCTCACACTCCTCCAAGTGCAAGTGAGGAAGTTCCAAATCCTTCTTTTACCCCACTCTTCATTCTACAACCTTTGTGTTTAGTTATTGTTCGCTAGGTTCTCGTCTAAGGTTTTTTTGCACAAATCATCGCATTTGTGTTTTGTTATTGTTCGCTAGGTTTTCGTCTATGGTTTTTTGCACAAATCATCACCTTTGTGTGTATCATCGCCTTTGTAGTTAGTTATTGTTCGCTAGGTTTTCGTCTATGATTTTTTTGCACAAATCATCGCATTTGTGTTTTGTTATTATTCACTAGGTTTTCGTCTATAACTTTTGCCCACCATTTTTGCACAAATAATCTCCTTCGCCTACCATTTTGCAGACCATCTTGAAACACAGTCGGCGGGATCCTAAGTTGTTCCCACCACCGTTTTCCAAGGCCGCTACCACGAGTTTTTTATCGGGACCGAGTTTCATCCTCTTTAGTGTAGTTTCTTTTTTTTTCTTCTTCATTTTTGTTGAGCATGATCACAATTGAACCCAAACACATAGGTATTCTAATTTGAACACAAATCATCGCCTTTGCCCACCATTTTGTAGTCCATCTCGACATATTATCAATGGAATCCTAAGTTGTTCTCCACCATCATTTCCCAAGGCTGCTAGCACGAGTTTTATATCGGGGCCGAGTTTCATTCTCTTTAGTGTTTTTTCTTTTTCTTTTCCCTTTTTGCTGAGCATAATCACAATTGAATCCAATGCCGCTACCGAAAATCCATACCATATCTACTCAATGTTGGCGAGTTTTGTATCAGGACCGAGTTTTGTTCGCTTTAGTGTTGATTTCTTTCACTTTTTCCTTTTTGTTAAGCATGATCGCAGTTGAACCCAAATCCATGGGTTTCCAATCTAATTCGATAAGGTCAAAACTACTTGAAACATACTTTAGCACTTATAAATTTCTCTTTTTTACTTCTTTTGGTTGGGAAGACAATTGAACCCGAATCTAAGGTTTTGACGAGTGTTATATTGTGAGCGAGCTTTATCCGCTTTTGTAGTTGGCAGGTTAGACCAAGTGTTAATTTGTTAAAAAATTGTTCAAAGCGAGTTGAACACATTATTAACCAATTTTAGATCGAAAGCGAGTTTTGTAGGCTTTAATGTTTTTTTATTTCTCCTTTTCCTTTTCGTTGAAAATGACAATTGAACTCTGACCCATTGTTGACGTGTTTCATATCGAGAGCGAGTTTTATCTGCTTTTGTAATTGACAGGTTAGGTAAATTGTGAATTTGTTAAAACAGGGTCGACCCGGTCAAAGCGAGTTGAACGCAGTTTTGAGAGTTTGGGGTCATGAGCGAGTTTTATCCGCTTTAGTATTTTTTTTATCATTTTCATTTTGGTTCAGAGTGACAATTGAGTCCAAACACATGGGTATACAACCTACTTCGACCAGACCAAAGCTACTTGAACCCGATTTTAAAGGTTTTCAGTGGGAGCGAGTTTTATCTGTTTTTGTAATTGGCGTATTGTGTCAGGTGTGAATTTGTCCAAAACTCGGTCCAACCAGGTCAAAGCAAGTTGAACTTGGTGTTGACGAGTTTTGAGTCGGTAGCGAGTCTTAGCTTTAGTGTTTTTTATTTCGCTTTTTCCTTTTGTTTGAGAAAGACAATTGAACCCAAATCCCTGGTATCCAACCTAATTTGACCCGATCAATGCGACTTGGACCTACTCAAACCTGCAATCAGTCAAAAAATTTCATAAAGGAGAACCACGATTACCTCAAACCCAAAAAAAAAAAAAGAGTACGACTATGTTTGGCCCCAAATCTAGAAGTTTTATGTTTCAAAATTTGAAGCCAAGCCAAGCACCTCTAAAGTTTTGATTTTTAGAAAACTGAAGTTTTTTGTAACTTAAAAACAAAAGCTCCTATTTGAAAATACAAAATTTCCCTTACAATATATTATTCTTTTAATTGAATAGTATTATTTAATATGAAATAAATCTAACGTGATCCATTTTAAATACTTTTTTTTTATTTTTGGAATTTGTATTCATATTTTATGTAGAAATATTTTTTAGTTATTTTTCATGACCTCTTATATTAGAAAGTAATTTTGATAGTTTTTCAGGTAAACACTCAACAATTTTTTTTTTAACTTTTTGAAAAGATCAGAGAAGCTGTTTCATTCTGCAAAAGTTACATCATGGTAAATTACTAGCCATACAAATTGAAGCTTCATGAAAGAAGTTTAAACATAAATAATCTATTCGGCGACCCTTCTACCTTATGCAAGTTCATCGACTATATAATATTATAAATAACAATCCTATGAAAAAGAATAATTAAGAATGAAATAAGATTACTTTTATTTTCGAATCAACATTAAAATTATTACTATTTAAAATATTTATTTTTCTAATACGCGAAGCGATAGCGAGCAGGCTTTTGCTAATATGTCTAAAGCAGCTTACCATCTGAAGACGGTTTATAAGCACCAAATCTCCAAACGGTATCTGATACATCATGCAAAATTGCTGACAGATTACAACTTCAAAAGAGGAGACCATTTCGTGCAACTAGTTGTTTGGCCAAATACAGATTGACGTTCCTAGGATGCTGAAGATCGACAATTTATATGTGTACGACTATATATAGACTTCGCGTTAGTAACTAGCGGTGGTAAAAAATCAATTACTAACGAACCAAATGTTACTAAATTGATATTTCGAAATCGGTTCGAATATATTTTGAATCGGTTTTGATCTTGTGAATTATTTTAAGTATGAATAAGAAATATACCAAAATTGAATTTGGACCGAATCAGACTGAATCGAATGAAACATACTTTTAATTTGATTCTGATTTTTATTTTTCCTTTATTGTTATCCGACGTTAAATCAATTCGAACCGATTTAGGACCGAATCGACCAACTCCCACTTTTACTTGTAAGTTGTAACACAACTTCAATGTGCTTCGGTTATTGAGCTGGGCTTTCGTTCAAATATCACTCGTATTATTTCCAATATCTCCTTTTATCACATGAAATATGGGCTCCGTTAGGAGTTGGGTTTAGCCGACCCAAGCCCATTGAAAAAGTCATCTATGGGCTTTATATATTGTTTGGACCAAGGGGGTCATGAGCAAGCAAGAACCAATGTTGCTTTCAAACAGTTCTTATGGAAGAGTAATTGCAGAGGCTACCTAGGGGTGGCAGCTGGTCGGTTTTGGTTTAACCAAAAATCAAAAATTCGATTATCGGTTAAACTGAGACACCCAACACGGCTGCCACCCACCAACCGATCGATTTTCGGTTTTAGGCTCGGTTAACCACATACCCGGGAAAAATACCCCTTCTCTCTAAAACGTCAGCGTTTAGCGAATTTAAAAAAAAAACCAGACATATCCTCCACCACACAATCCTTATCTTCTTCCTTCTATCGCCTACACAATCTTATCTCCTTCCACTTTTTCAGACCCACCAGCCACCACACAAACCTAAATACCTTATCTCCTTCCTTCTCTCACCTTCCTTCCCTTTCCTTCCTTCCTTCCTCCAATTCACAGACTGACCGAGATGAGATCCATTTTCAGCCCTCAACTCTCGACCTTGGCATGGAAAAGGCGACCGACCGGATCACCTGGAGACGGCGATCTGTTGAGGAGCGGTGGAGGCTGGACTCGGCGACCTGATGAGCGGAAGAGGACACGGGGGTCGGCCATTAGGGGTCGTCGGGTCGTCGGAGTCGTGGAGTGTAAAGTCGTCGGGGGTCGAGGAAAGCAGCGTCGAGCGGGGTCGCCGGGTCGTGGTCGCCGTGTCGTGGTCGCGAGGCCTGGGTCGGCGATTAGGGGGGTTGGACGGCGGGGAACTTGGAACAAGAGAAAGGTGGAGGTAGATTCTGGGTGTGGAGGATGGAGGCTGATAGGGTTGGTGACTGGCGAGAGGACGATGAAGGAGGAAACGGGGTAGTTTTGGTGGAGGCAGATACTGGGTTGGTGGAACGACACTCGGTTGCTTCGGTTAGCCAGTTAACCTGATTCGGTTATTCGGCTAGCCGAAGTAACCATTTTCTCTAACGAGCACCGACCGAGCACCGTGACAATCTGTTAGCCGCTAACCGGCGGTTATCGGTTAAATCAGCCGGTTAGCCACAGACAGGAAACTGATCTGCCAACCCTAAGGCTACTTGCTTCATTTTGGTGTTTTGGAAAAAAGAATTAAAAAACTGTCTACGGTAGTTGGTAGTCAGTAAACGGTTATCCTGTTGGCGGTGAAGTCGATAATCAAATGATTAGTAATCTGTTGGTTCCTGGTAGTCAAATGTAGGGAAGTACTAATCGAAAATTAAATGATTAGTAATCGATGGTGAAATAGTTAACCGACTAACAAATTATAGCCATCTTTATAGTTAATTAGGACAAAAATAATAGGCCTCAATGAACCTGTTGATGCCAAGCTCGGAGAAGCCTGCTTCAATGTGTTTGAGGTCCGGTGAGTGCTATCCTCCTGGCCAACTTCTGCTACCAGCCTTCGAGATGGACACCTGCAAAAGAGGACCCCGCCGGCTCTTGAGCCGGCTCTTGAGAGAGATTTAGAAGTTCAACTCCAAAAAAATAAACTGTTTAGAAAACATAAATGAGCGTCCTATTTATAGGTGCCTACTACTTCTAACATGGGTGGCGTACGTACGTATTGATTAAATTGATAAATTAACATAAGAATGTAAAATTCAACTTGATTGGGTGAGGGTAACCACCCATGTACCATTAGTATCCTCGCAAGCACAATAAAACCCATACATAACTAGCACATTTGAGCAAAATGGGCCAAGTGGAGGGTTTTTTAGGGTAAATATGAGATTAAGTGCATGCTTGCTTAATCTCTACATACACACGTGTAACTTGGAGAGGTGGGGTTATTTTCAATTTGTGTCCATTTGGGGGTAAACTCTCCACCCATCAAGTAAATAAAGAACCATAGTTAGCTAGTACGTGTTAGTGAATGACATGAGGGTGGGATTGTTTGCCACCTTGTCACACTTTGTTACACGTGGATTAGTTTGGTGGTTTGAGTGCGATAAGGGAAACCTTAATACCTACCCATCAGAAAGAATGAATTACTTGAAAAATAACAATACATTTTACCTTTGCTTATCTCAGTCACGGGTGAGTGAGGGTAAAGAGAGCATGAATAAATTGTGTTCTTAGTTCGTAAATTATTTGTGGTAAAAAAGTACTGTATGATATTGGTTGAATACTGGATCTATCAATTGCCCCCTTACCAATAGAAAAATTAAGGTTGAACCAAAGTTTTCTATTAGTAACACATCATTAGGTGAGTGATGTAAATTATGTTAGGCATACAGACACAAATTGGGCAAGCAATTGTTGGAGAGCCAAGTAAATCATGGTAGAAGGGACGCACCATCGTGGCGAGCGATCATGGAAAGCCGTGTCGTTTATGACAGGCAGGCCGCACTAGTCGTGGTGGGCACCATGAAGAATCGTGCCAATCTTTGTTGACGACCCCAACCAATCATTGCAGGCTACCAGTGCCAATTGATGCGACCTTATTGTGTGTTTAGTATTGTCCGTGTATGAGTGATAAGGACAATTGTTTGGGTTATGCAACATCATAAGAGAATTTTGATATCAAGTATAAATGAGAGATTAGGAGGGATTACCATATAGTTTTTGAGCTTACAATAACTTTCTCATACTTAGATTTTTCTCGATTGGAGCATGAGAAGGGAAGAGGTTCACCTGCCAGATTGGTGATGATGATGGAAAAGTTGTCCCGTCATGATCCGGAAGAGATGGAAGGCAGAGTGGTGTGGGTGAAAAAATGAATCTTTTTTCACAATAGCAATTCGCGGGGAATTGAACCCTTGACCTCATTGATGGAGGTGTGCCTACTAAATTAGTAGATGACATGGGAATCCTCGGTAAAAACGTAGGTCTTACGAGAGACGGACCTAAACTGGTGCCCCCACAGCCTCGTTGTGACTTCCAGGACATCAGGTTTCTCCCCCATCTCTCCTAGCGGGTTTGACGTTGACAATGATAATTTGTAAAAAATTTCACCGGGCTCCATTGCAAACGCAAATTGTTGATGGAACTTTTCATCAAGGTCCACTATAGGTGCCAATTGTTGATGTCAGGGCGCCATTCCATGAGAGGACTTGAGGATCCTATGATTTCACGGCAAATCAACGGAGGAACTAGTGGGGTTGAGGGCGCGCAGTTCCGGACCAAAGATTGACACAACTCAATCTTGGTCGAGAGATCCTCGATTCTTCGAGATAACAAATTTATTGATGTTTGGATTTGTATCTTGACGAATCCCTTCTTCGGGTTGTATATCCTGCATGCCCATCTTGTTGGGATCACGATTCTTGAAGATAGCAACTTGATTGTTGTTTGGAGTTGCATCTTGACAAATCCCTTATTCGGGTTGCAGATCCTGCTTGTCCATCTCGTTGGGATCCTTGATTCTTGGAGATAGAAACTCAATTGATGTTTGGAGTTGCATCTTGATGAATCCCGGCTTCGGGTTGCAGATCTTGTGTATCCACCTCGTCTTGCTGGATTGACGGCTTGTTGGTATTACTCTCACCGGGCCCCACGGTGGGCGCCAATTGTTGATGCCAAGCTCGGAGAAGCCTGCTTCAATGTGTTTGAGGTCCGGTGAGTGCTATCCTCCTGGCCAACGTCCGCCACCAGCCTTCGAGATGGACACCTGCAAAAGAGGACCCGTCGGATGTTGGTCGACGGGGACCTTCTCCGAAGCTCAAGTCAGTATTGAGAGGAGAGTAACCGGGAGCGGCGTATTGAGCCGGCTCTTGAGAGAGATTTAGAAGTTCAACTCCAAAAAAATGAACTGTTTAGAAAACATAAATGAGCGTCCTATTTATAGGTGCCTACTGCTTCTAACATGAGTGGCGTACGTAGGTATTGATTAAATTGATAAATTAACATAAGAATGTAAAATTCAACTTGATTGGGTGAGGGTAACCACCCATGTACCATTAGTATCCTCGCAAGCACAATAAAACCCATACATAACTAGCACATATAGAGAGGAAATGAAATGATATACCTTCCCACCTTGCTCCACGTGCATGTGTATGTTTCTTGGGTGGCTAGGGTGTGATAAAAGAGATTTGTAATACAAATCCATCAAAAGGGTTAAGTACTTGATGGAGATTGGGTTAGTGAAATGGTTAATGGGTATAGAGTACATAATAACACATTTATGTGCGTGTAATTTGTATGTACAATTGGTGTGTTCGATTGGTGAGGAAAGATTGTCCCAAATCCATACACCCAATTTACCTTCTCTCTCATTTGAGCAAAATGGGCCAAGTGGTGGGGTTTTTAGGGTAAGTATGAGACTAAGTGCATGCTTTCTTAATCTCTACATACACACGTGTAACTTGGAGAGGTGGGTTTATTTTCAATTTGTGTCCATTTGGGGGTACACTCTCCACCCATTAAGTAAATAAAGAACCATAGTTAGCTAGCACGTGTTAGTGAATGACATGAGGGTGGAATTGTTTGCCACCTTGTCACACTTTGTTACACGTGGATTAGTTTGGTGGTTTGAGTGTGATAAAGGGAAACCTTAATACATACCCATCAGAAAGAGTGAATTACTTGAAAAATAACAATACATTTTACTTTTGCTTATCTCTCTCACGGGTGAGTGAGGGTAAAGAGAGTATGAAAAAACTGTGTTCTTAGTTCGTAAATTATTTGTGGTAAAAAACGTATTGTATGATGTCGGTTGAATACTGGATCTATCAGAACCGCAAGCACTGGCAAAAAATAATGGGATTTTTGAAGGCCTACAAGATTTCCTGCCCACCCTAGTTGTAATAGTGACTTCGGTTCAAATGAGAATAATTTCAAGGAATGGTTTTAGAAGGAGCACAATAGAAAGTTGGACTTGCGCACTGTAACTGTTCAACAATTAGTAACATTTAACCTTCCATGTAATTTGGTGGAGTTTATGAGTTGAATAATTATTTTTGGGTCTCTTATTTTTATATGCTTCTTTAATCAAATTTGAAGCTAGAATGATATTATTGTGTTACATTGAGTTGATAATGGTTTGATATCTATGTTAAATTATTTTTTATTTAATGATAACAACTTAAAAAAAGAACACTTACGTATGTAATAAAAATCTACAAAAATGAAAAATAGAAAAAAGGAAGTCTTATGTTTGTTAGGTTACTGATTAGTTATTTTGGTATAATCTTATCAAATCACTTATTTAGCGATTATCCACTTAATCTACAAACTAATCGAAATCGACTATACGCCTACTGTTAATCGATTAATATAAATAGTGCAGTTAACGGTAAGTACAAAATGTTTAACGGTTAACCGATAACCAATTAAACAGTTCCAAACCGAACCTATTTCCAGCCCTACTTCGAGTGGTAGAAGCACACAGTAATCATCCTGAGCTGTTTCGGACACCCGATAATCATCTGTTCGGTCCAGTTTGAACCGAACTGACCGACCGAATGCCCACTCCTACGCAGTATCACATGTGGATATAGCGAATCGATTAGCAGCAAAATACTAGGATTACTTGCAATTAGCCAATTGGATCGCATTTGACTTTATTTTTCATGACGGATATGCATCTCATACGCCAAACCACTACACATAATCCGGCATGCACGGATGCACATCTCGTTTGGTTTATGCTCTAGGAATTGTTTCGTACGTATTTCCAATCTAAATGCTATATTTAATTAATGAATGTACAAAATTAAACAACATATATGGTTTTGAGTTTTGACTTATCCGCGGAATATCATAATATGGTTTGGATCTCTCAGAAATTATGTTATTTTCATTTCCGTAGTTAGTGGCAAAGTCATAAATCTAGATAGGTGGAGGCTGATTTGAATGGTTGTAATTGGAATTTGGAAAATAATGGTTAAAACTTTGCCGACTTAGGAATGGCAATGGGGCAGGTCCGGGGCGGGTATCTCGATACCCATACCCGCCCCATGGCAGGACGGGTCCAGGTCGGGTAATTCATCACGGGGCGCGGGTCGGGACAGGTCGAACCATTGGGTATGTAATTTATGTGAAAAACATTAGAAATATTCGTTCTTTTCATTGAAAGACCAAGAAAGAAACCATAATATGATAAAATGTAGTTAAATTATTGAAGAAATTGAGATATTCACTTATTTACAACTTTATTATAGATAAAATATAATGTAATAAGAGGAAAATCTTAAGTAATTTGACTAAGATTATATGTAATTTAGGCAAGAACTGGTCGAGAATGGGGCGGGTCAAGGCAGGTCGGGTCGATGAGAGGTACCCATGCCCGTCCCGCCCCGTCCCGCCTACGAGGCGGGTTTGATCCGCCCCAAAACAGGTCGAGTAAATTGGGTCAGGTCGAAATTGCCATCCCTATACCGGCTATTTTAATTCCTTAATCTTAATAAAATTTACTTGTAAATTTATATTTATTTCAAAGTTGAACTAAAACTACACCTCCTACTAACTTCAACCTAACTTCATCACGGATTGCAGTGGTGGCAATAGATATCATTAATCACCCCACACATGGTAGCGTTTCCCATGCTCAGTTTGCAGGCCGCACACATCAAACAAGGTACGGTCAACAATATCCTTTTTTCCCACCATAAACAAAGCTATAAGGAGGCAAAACCAAACATGACAAAAGCTTGCTCCAAATATAAATTAGTAACCACAAAATTACAAATCAATTAAAAGCTTACAACATAAATATTACAAAACAACAGTTATACCTCAATATGGTATTTTTATGGTATATATTTTCAATCTAATGGGTCAAACTCGTTCGTACAATACATACTTGATATTTACCGCACCAAAACAAGTTTGAACAATTAGACTAGCGAGACCATGTAAATATACTAGATACATATTAAGTATCACGTATTAGTAAAAAAATAATGTAATATTAGTTGATGATACTATCAAAAGTTAGATACAACCAAACAGCGTGACGCGAGTTGTTGGGAGAGCGACTCCTATTCGCGGGGTATATGTGAATGATCATAAGTTGTGAAGTAGGTTGGGCCCACAGGGCACCAGCCGACGAGAAACCGCGCGGATTGCGTGGCCGCCCTTGTTCTTGCTCCATTCTTCCAAGCTCCTTCGAATGGCCGACGCACCTTCAAGGAAGGACTCTTTCTTGACCAGGCGGCGGCTGATCCCCTGCAGTGCTTCTTTCCCCGACGACGACGACGGCGGCGGCTTCGTCTCCCCGTCAAGCAAACGACGGCAGGTCGCGCCCGGGATCAGGGCACCCAGCACCACCACCAACAAGAGGAACAAATGCGAAGCCTTGATTCCCATAATAAGGATGATATAAAAACGAACTTTGGAGTATGGGGATTCAGGTAGCGTAAGACAGAAGGCAGGCAGAAGGGAATTGGGTTTGGTAGAAGATTGTTCTGTTGTGGGCAGGTTGGGCTGTGTATTTATAGATGGTGATGGGCCAGCACCCAGCAGAGCAGCTAGCAGGCCTCGCCGCCTCGCGCCAAATGCCACCTGGGAATTGACCAAATCTCTCACTTCTTCTCTTTCTCTCTGCGTGGTGTAGTGTTGCATCCACGCTCGCCGGCGTTTACTTTGGGCTTTTTGTGCGTGATAAAGCTACAATAATACGGTTGACTTTGGCCCCTTTGTACGTTTGGGGTCGTTTTCAGAAGGGAATGAGGAGTCAGTAATCGGGAAGGTACAGCTGATGATGATATGCCGTTAGAATTAGCGTTGTTAATAGAATATGGATATGGCAGTATAGAGATGGTAACAAAGATTAGACTACAATACAATAACTGTATCGTTTTAACACATATATAACATACCGACGACTTGATCGCGAACAACACTGATAAAGTTGAGTGTTCGTAAGTACTGATCATCAGAATGACAAGTAATAGTTATTCATACAGTGGGGAACTAAATCGCTACTGGATAAATATATGACTTTCCCCCTTTTCTTTTGGTGGAATGCTAGGTGACCCATGAATTTCGAGACAAATGTCTCATCTTAAAGACTAAGATTCAAGGCAAAATCAAAGAACGATCTGTGCCGGCGGATTCTGTTAATAATTCTGTTGGGGAAAGGGATTGATGCCATTTGGAAGCGCCTAGTAATTAGCTAGAACTGCAAATGTGTAAAACTAAAAGCATTTGAAATCTTCAACGTGGGTTATTTGCTTGTACATTTGGCCCAAAGTCAAGAAAATAGAATATCCATTGTAATTGCTATCGGTAATTAAAGACAAAGCGGGCTTCCAGTTTGATGGGCTACTTGAGTAAATTGCAAGTTCGGTCAGATTATTAAAAATTTTATGTTTGGTTACTAAGATTAATTTAGTATTTCAAGTTTAGTCATTCTCTTGGTTTTTGTTGATAGCGGCAGTTTTTTATGTGACTAATCAAGTATCGGCCAATTTTAATCCGAATAAATGAAAACCGCAACATACAATATCCAAACCCAACCCAACAGATAACCCCACCCGACCCTTCATCTTCTTCTTCTTCTATTTGATCCGATGGGAGAAAGAAAGCCAACCTCCCGACCCGACCCAACCCAACCGATAACTCGACCCTTCATCTTCTTACAAAGTCGACAATGGCGGCTCTGGAAGAAGAGGAGGAGGATGAAGTGGGTCGGGAGATAGACCTTTTCTCCTATCGGGTCAAATAATAGAAGAGGAAGAAGATGAAGAGTCGGGTCACCGATTCGGTTATGGATTGGGTTGAATCTTATGACTTGACATATTTAATGACGTGGTGGGTCGGGTTTCAATTTTTGTGGGTTAAAATTGGCTGATTAGACACTTTCGTTAGCCACATCATCAAAAAACTTGACGTCGTTAATGAAAACTAACGGAAGATAACGTCGATAACCAAACTTGAAATACTCTTAACTATTCTTAGTAACTACGAACGGAATAAAATATTTTTAGTGACCAAAGGTGAAATGTTTTATTAATCCAATTATCAGACTTGCAATTTACCCTGACCGGCGGGAAAGAATAGAATTTAAGTTCGTGAAAGAAAGAAATGGGTCACATCAGCGGGCTAGCCACCGATGACCGGACCCGAAGAGAGGCTACGTACGTGCGGCGTAAGTCCGGGTCAGTCGGCCGCCCGTCATCGACCACGCCGGCGGCTGCCGGCCGTATGTGTACTTTAGACAAAAAGAGCTGTGTGACATATGGAAGGGTTAGTAAGTATAATAATAATGATAAAGAGAGTTAGAGATACATTTGTATGGAGTCCAGTTTGTGCTCTTTGTTTGTGTTCATTGTTAATGTCAGCTATTTGACCTTCATTTTTCTACGTGTTTTGTTTATTGGTTGACTTAACCTTCAGCCGACGTCAGGACGTGGCATAACAACAATTATTAAGAAAAACATCCCCCACGTCAAATTCTAAAAAATGAACAAGTCCACGGGAATCCTTTCGTTGTGTGTGGGATGATTGTGTTGTTTCTAGCTTATGCTCCATGTTATGTTAACGGATGCATATATATATATATGAATATGCTGCTGCCTACTGCTGTGGTTCACAACAAACATGGCCATATATTATGTAAATTTTTTGTTCTAGCATAATCGAGAAGGTGGTACGAGTTATTTGATAATGCGTTAAATTTTTCAGGATTGCATCGGTCTTTTTGTGTACTTAATACTTATACATACACATTAGTAATCAATGAACATAGCAACAAGTTTGAATTGATCCTGATATGTGACCTGGTTCGATGGATGTATAGTATCTGAGTTTGATGGACATTTTCCATATACACGAGTCAATTTAACTAAATATTATACAGATAGAAAACATGCGATACTATGCTAATAATCCACAAGATGAAAATAATTTTCGGTCATACATTAAAATTTCTCATAACTCGGGTTCCTTCTTCGATGGTTTTGTTGTTGGCTTGTTGCAAGCTTCATGAATGCTAGTTTATCTCCTATCAGAAATGCTAATTCCTAATCTACTCCCTCTTTTTTAGAAGAAGATTGTATCTTATTAAGTAATATCCAATTAGTGGAAACATTGATCTTTACAACATTAGAGATTAAAAAAAAAAATCACAATAACAACTCAATTCTCTCGGTAAAAGATCTAAACGAGTATTAGGAACAATCCAATTTGTTAACGAATTAAGATGCCGAGGGACAAACACGACATAATCCAGTAATTTGAGTGGAGAATGACACGAGCTAAAGTAGTCAAAGGTCCGGAGCTTGCTTCACAACTAATATAGTCTCGTTGTTGTTGAAAATATCCATACAAATTTGTATTGACGATGTCCACTGGTGATCAGTTAAAGCATCCACCTAACTCACATATTGGATACGTTGGAGATTCGTGCTTAGATTCATTTACGTTGAAGAAAATTTGAAGCACCTTCCAATATACATGGTTTATTAGTAAAAAAGAATGTGTGATTGAGTATAGAGAGAAAACCTCACAAACCACTTACATGAACTGTATCATAACTAGACTCAATCGGAACAAGCATCATCACATAATATGATAACTTATTTGTTAAAATTCATAGACACATTTATTACAAGAAAATAATATATGAACAAAAAATGAGACTAATCCTTTTCTTTTTATATGTACAAAAGGTTGGTGACAAATGGCTAGGTTTGGATTGTTTTGGGACCTACATAGAGTTCGGAATCTTGAAGAGCCGGACAATATGATATGATGGAGCAAGAAAAGACAACTCAACTTGAAACAAACGTAAGCCTGTGTTTTTATATACGTTGATAATAATACTATGGTGTGCGAGTTAGGAAGCTCGTTGAGATTAAACTTTTGGATTATTACCGTATCAGTCCTTAATCTCCATTACAGGGCAGGCCTAAGCTTCTCACATGATCAACCATAAATGTGCAAGTTTGGAATTCTGAAGATTCTGCAGTTTGGTAATCAATCATGACGAAAAGGACTGTTGGCTGGAATAATTAATTTGATTAGTAGGTAAGGTGCTGACATGAACATCAATATTCCATTTCGTTGACAATCCTGAAGCTGCTGCAAACAGAGTCAATCTTCCATGGCCGCTTCCACAGAGGAAGTCTTAGTAAACTTTAGCGCATTCTTCGATTTGGTCTCCGTTCTTGTTTCTGTTCAGACTTCCCGACCTTCTGATGGCTTGAATTTCGTTTAATTTTCAGTCGAATTCGTTAACGACAGTGGCAATTTGCGTAATTGCCAGTATCTAACTCTAGAATGAATGGAACAGAGAGAAGTATATAAGTTTTTTGTATTCATACTCCATATCCAATATATACAAAGTGGCATTTTGCTTTTATAAACAACTCAGATTCAAGACTGGTTCGTGGAAAGAATGGAGTAAAAACCATGAAAAAAAGAAAGAAGGACTAAGACAGAAAAGCTCTAGAAAACAGGGGAAGCCCGCCCCTGCCTCTCAAGTCTCCCAATTCCCAAAATGCCCAAGAAAGAAAGACCCTAAAGTTCCATTCTTTCCGAGAACCAATTTGATTCTTTCCCCCGACTTTGATCAACCTCATCATTTCCGGACTCTAATTGTGAAGTGGGTTCGGTCCATCGGGGATCCACCGATCCGAAATGCTGTGCATTGGCTTGTCGAGCTCGTAATCCGACCCACTTTTCCCCGGAACGAACCGGGACATCGCCGCAAGCCTCGCCGGAATCGGGAAAGGGAACTTCGTCTTGGTTCTGTTGTTGATCTCCACTAATCTAACTCCGTATCCAGAGGACCTGATTGGCCGACAATTGGACTGGTCTGTCAACGCCATAAGAATGGATAGAACCAGCAGCAGAGCACCAAGTGACTGACCAGAAGTAGTAGTTCTCATGATTTTTAAAGTGTAAAAATAAGGAATGCAGAAACGTAGCAGGGGATTGAGGAAAGGTAGAGAGGAGCGTAAGAGTGTCTGAATGTGATGGGAAATGGAGAGGGTTTTATATAAGGAGAAGAACGACGGTTTCGAATCTATTTGGCAGGATGGTGAGATAAAAATATAATGTCAAGGGCAAAAAGTCAGAAGCAGTCACATTTCATTGCCTGAATTATTTAGCCATTGTTTAGCATAAATGTATATATCTTAGTCAATCGGTGTTCGAGTGATGATATAGATGCCACCCACTAACAACAGAAACAGGGGAGGAAGTTATGTGGTCGGCCAGCCATTAGAATAGTGAAGAAACAGGGGAAGTTGAGAGCAGAGCAGGGGGAGAGTTTCCGGCTGCGGGGTGCTAACAACCCTGACCCAAACAGCATATTGCCAACTTGGCAGAATATTTCCCTCTGTGGTAAGGAGGGTTATGGTTGGAATGGCTATTCTAAGGTAGCAATTTATCCAGAGGAAGACATTTGTTCTTTGGCTCTTTTCCCAACTTTGAGTTCTATTGATCTCACGGACGTTGTTAAAACGGTTTAAATCGTTGTATCGGTTTAGTAAGTGAATGATCAGTAATAGAATCGGTATGTGTCAATTCATACCGATTTAACAAAATATGTAGAAATGTGAAACCCCATTAATAATAAATGAATTTAATCATATATAAAAATATATTTGCAGATAATTTACTTATAATTTAAATTGGTATTTAAATAAAATGTGATATTCCTATTAAAGTTACAAATACTCATAATTAAATAGAAATATTTAATATCAATACCTAAAAACGTTTATAATTGAATCCAACAAATAACACCAATATTAAACTTTTGGATTTTGCTACGGTGACATGCATGTCACCGTGACATGGACTTTTCGGTCGACCTAATCCAACATGCGGTCGACCGAATGGACTAATTCATGTATGTAGGGTTCCAAGACGCGGTCGACCTCTTACATAATACGGTCGACCGCTTTGGTGGTCTAACATAATGAAAGGTCGACCCAAATATCTCATAGGCCGACCCTTGTGCACCTAACAGGTCGACCGCATTATGAAGAGGTCGACCGCCTTCACCCCGTATCCGTATTGGATATGGATTCCAACACCAGAAAGGTTCCACAATTGGACAAGGAAACGAATTGGGTCGACCCATTGACGTCCTAAATCTCTATAAATACGAATATAAGTCCCCTTCAAAGCCTCCAAGTCTGAATTAGGTTTTTTTCCGATTAAGAGCCTTTGTGAAGAAGATCGTTCGCGGTTGCTGTTGTACGCGTTGGAAGTGGTCGACCAGGTCTAAGGTGAGGTCGACCTAATGTACCATTCGTCGTCTTCTTTTCTAATGCGTGATTTCTACCGGCTAATTTGATAAATTGTTGGGTGCAGAATTCCATTCGGTCGACCGTGACGTCAACCAGGTCGACCTGACGAGACAATTCTGCGTATTTGAATTTAGGCCACAACACTTGGATTTCTGTACTTGCGATGTAACCCAATTGGCCGACCTAATGGGTTTCAAGGTCGACCGTTCCTGTTTTTTTGGTTATTCAACCTGAATGTCGACTTTGGCTTTGATTGTATGACTATGTTGTGCTTGAAAAGGTCGACCGCGCCAGATATCTGGTCGACCTATCCTGTTTTCGGTTTAATTTTGAACTTACTTTTTGTTGTTAATTGTTATTTTCCTGCTGGATAGGTCGACCTAGGAATAACAGAGGTCGACCTTAATGGTTGTGGTAGTCACTATTTGTCTTCCAGGTCGACCTAATACTATGTCAAGTCAACAACGTATTTTTTTGGTCAATTGTAGAAATTTGTAGTTGAATTATGATTTAAATTTTTCTTGAAATTGTTTAGAAAATGACGCATGATGAGAAACTGCATCAAGATTTGGGTGAAATCATGAAATTGTTGAAAGCCACACAAGAGAAGCTGGTGGTGTGTCAAACACAAGTCAATGACTTTCAGAAGTCCATGTGTGATAGAGTGGAGCAATTGTCAGTTCGACTGACAGATATGACTGGGATGATGTATGACGGGTTTGAGAGGCTAGAAGGTGCTATCAAAGATATAAGTGCAGAACGAATGGAGAATGGCGGAAGAAATGGTAAAGGAAAGAAATTTGACTTTGGTAAAGAGGAAGAAGACCATGATGACTCTGAAAATTGCTACCAGAGCATAGACGATTTATTGAAAGAGCACATTTTAAAGGTATCCAAGTATATTCATATGTGATTGAAGATATTAGTATTACTATCATTAGTGCTAATTTGTTTTGTTTATATGTTTGACAGAGTGAAACAACGAATGGCAGCAAGGGTTCCTCTCCTAAGTACAAGAGACCGCGATATGAAAGTGACTCCTACACCACTCCACAGAAGGATCAATTTGTAAGAAAAGGATTATTTAGTGATGATAGCGATGAAGAAGAATCTAAGAGTCCTTTCGAAAAGCACGGGGTAAGTTTACGTTACATATTCATCTATAATGTGTGTTTGTGTTCATATGTTACTTTAATTTTAACTATGATTTGTAGGTCATGAAAGTGGAGGGTCTAGAAGGATTCACCAAAAATCTTCAAAATCCAGTTGAAGACTTGTATTATGTTGTTACTAAAGAGAAGGTTGGGGACAAGAATTGGGACAAGTAAGACGTTTTTTAGTACGTGTGGTCGACCGGATCGGTTATGAGGTCGACCGCTTTTCCAATAAGGTCGACCGTGACTGTGAACAGGCCGACCTGTACGTTGCAAATCACAATTGACATTTCTGTTATTTTGATTTTTGCAGTTTGACCGTTGTGGACTTTTTTTCTGAAAACGTGCAACGACATTATTTGAGTTCGGTCATTAGCGAGAATAGCTGGGTTTGCTCATCAGTAAGTACTATACTACTACGACTTTCGTATGAATTGTGCACTATTTATGTTACGATTTATGATGATTTTGTGTTTGATTGTTGGATGGTAGGTAGTGGATTTGTGTGCAAGGGCACTAACAATGTCTGAAAAACATGATGTGAAAGAGCCAAATGTGTGGTATTTGCCAAATATGTTTTCGGTAAGAGCCGTAATGTCAAATTATTTTTCATAACCTAGTTATTTATATTGTACCATGTCAATTCATCTCAACTAAAACATGGTGCAGAAAATGCTACGCGCTAACATGAAGACCAGACAAATTCGTAACAAGTTGATGAATGATGGCGTGGTCTTTATGCCGAATTTCAGTGCATGCCAGAAGGTTAGTCTAGTCAATGTCCCTCTATCATTAAATTTCGAAAGTGCAGTTGTTTGTATTCGCTGTTTATAACATATAGTGAGTGTTTCGTTGCTAGATATTTATGCCAGTTCTTGACGATGAAGCACGTCATTGGTTTCTGTATCTCGTCAATGTCCAGCAAAAAACTGCATTTTTGCTTGACAGTCTACCTTCAACTAGTGAGGCGAATCGTAGGCGTAAATCAGCACTATGCAAGAAATTGGTAAGTGTTTCCTATAATTTTCTGACTGTTAAGCGTCACGTATTATGCTAGAAACTTATAATATTCATTATTTGTGTGTAGTTGTCCAATTTGGATGATATTTTCAAACCGGAGCGCATGAGCAATGTAGGAGTACCAAATTTTGGAGATTTCAATTTTGATGAGCTACGAGTTCAACGGCAAAGGAATAGTACTGAGTGTGGTGTGCACGTCATGCAGTGGATGCGCTATGGATCCAAGGATCTTGATAGAGTGGTGAGTATATCGTCAAACAAATAACTTGTTTAATTTACACTTTTTTTAGTTGTAACGAAATCTTACATGGCATAATGCAGATAGGAGAAGAACACAAATTACCGGCTCGAAAGGAGATTCTATGGTATCTGGCTACACATTTTGAAAACCTTGCACGAGAAAATCTTTTCAAGCATATAGTAGATGAATGCATGGAACGAGGCAAAGAGAGACTGAGTTCAAACAAAATAGCAAAGAAATGAAGTCGTTAAGTTACAATGTTGCATTATTTGGACCATACATTGAATTTGTATTTGCGAGATCGTTTCATTTTGGATTTTGAATGTTTATCTTTTATTAGATTTGTTATACAATTATGGATGTGACTGAATTTACGATTTCAATCGTCTAGAACAAGTGGTCGACCACATACTCAAAGCGGGCATACCCAAAGGCAGAGCACAGGTCGACCTCGTGACGCTTAAGGTCTACCTATGATACCGTAGCAAAGTCAAAAACCATGTAGAACATGGATGGAATCTCGTTAGTTTGGCCTTAATAAAATACGGTCGACCATTCGTGTCAAGAGGTCGACCTGTTTCACATTTATAAACAATGGTCGACCATTTCAGTAAAGAGGTCGACCTGTTTCACATTTACCCAAGACGGTCGACCATTTGTGCAAAGAGGTCGACCTTAATGAATCATGTCCTTGTACAATTAGGATTTTGTGTACTTGTCCTTGTCGAATTATGATTTTATATATCTTTCACCAATTGGATAAGGAATTCGTCTACATTATCTATAAATAGATGGGAGTCTGAAGACTTTAATCGTACTTCGATTTATGCAATTTGTTGGAGTGAAGTTGTAATATCACCGCTCTTATTGTGATCGGGTGTTGGTGGCGGTTTATTTTTATTCCGGTAGACCGTAACAATAAGTGGTCGACCTCTTTGCTAAGGTATGTCTCGTATGTGCTTGTTAATGCTTGTATGTGGTTAAATTTTTCCTACCATCCGGTCGACCACCTTCACCATCCGGTCGACCGTGCTTTTGTAATTATAGGATTAGGTCGACCTTTCAGTAAATTCTGGTCGACTGCATGTTTGTTATTTAGTAATAAGGTCGACCGTACAGTTCATTCAGGTCGACCTGACGAGCGCTAATTGTGTATGTTTTTGACATTAAGTTCGTATTCCGATCGTTTCAGGATGGATAACAGAGATGATACAGATGATAGAGATGATGATGATGTTAACTTCGATGAGAAACCTAAGGATGCTCAAGAAGGAGCTATGGATAATTCAGAT